CTGGAGACGAAATTCTTCCTTTCCTTTCAAGGCCGCTTTTCTCTTTAGATGTACTGTAAACTCACGACCTCTATCGGTCATCTTACGGACACGGGTAGGTCTACCAGCAAACTGATCCAGGTTGCAGCAGTCGACAATAAACTTGACTAAACTAACGTTCCTTTGAACCAAAGGCTTTGACTATGCCAGCGCGGGTCCGAAATCCAAAACACACATTTGACTTTAACAGATTATCATAGCTTTAATCACAAATCCACACGCGTAATACATCTCCAAATCGCTAAAGAAGTGAATCTGTCAAACTAGATATACAGATGTACAGTTGGTATACAGAAAAACTGGAAAACGGCAAGCAGAAAGGTAAAAACTTACGCCTTTCTGGGCTCTAGCATCGGACCGCGTGGTCAATAACATAACAAAACTAGCGCGCATGAGCAGAAATCCGCGACGCATACATGACGCAAAAAAGGGCGGAACACGGGTGCCGCTACAGCTACGGTCGGACTCCTTGTATAATGTACTCGTACCGGTTTATGCAAAGAGTAAATTAAATTCTTCTGCATGATACTCTTGAGTTTTTTGACGGGTACACCCGTGGCTTTGTGTAACCTTTGCAATCCACCATAACTACCTGGATTCGAAAAGTCAAAATACGTCTTCAATACCATCTGTTCCAACTTTTTTTCTTTATCCAACTTTCTTTTCTTTCGCTTGTTTATTCCCACGACTTTTTTTCTCACAGTAAAATTTTAGTGCAACATCTTGCCAACACGATTAAAGCTGCCCTCATTAACTCTTTGAATGATGGTACTTTATCAGGATAAATACCCATTCTTTATGTTGTTCGTAATCTCTTCCTCTCAGTTGTTCTCTCATTCCCTCCATATGTACAATGAATATGCCAGAATTCCATTCTCTCACACAACTAGGGTCATTGATCAAATAAACAAATAATTCATCCGCGTTTTCTTTGGTTTTCACCTTTTCTAATTCTTTTTGAGGAATAAGCGAATCTCGACCATTCAATTCGTTTTGATAAGTACGTTGCCATAACCACTCTTTTCCTATCCGCTCCATCTTCTAATCTGACCGAAAAAAATCATAGCAAAGCTATTTATATAAATTGAAACCACATTCCAAAATTTTTCCATTCTTTCCCAGGTGTTATCCCGAAATAATGAACGTCAATACTGTAGCCAACCAGACCGATTTCTTCAAACGGGAATGACAAAATTTCAAAGAGGAAGTATCCAAGCATTATTGGAAAAAATTCTGGGTGATAGCTATCTTGAAAACCGTTCATAAAAAGAAAGGACTCGAACCATCCATTCATTCCTTTTTTTCCATGCAACGATTGCAATATGTCGATGAAATGAGTTACAAACTCAAACGTGGACTTAAAGAAGTCAAGTTTAATGAAATCTATGACGAATGGACCAAAATCCTGAGAGAAAGAGGTGTGTATCATCCTATCTGGCATCATGAAGACATGGACTTTGTCAAAACCATGATCTCCGGAAACAATGCAAGTAGAATGCTATTGGAGTATTTCATTTACATATTGAAAGTCAAGCTTTATCGGAACGATTTCACGAAAAATTATTAGAACGATTAAATACTTTTTAATTTTTCGTTTTTTCTCCTTCTTTTTTAGACTCACGTCCTGATCTTAAAAGAAATACTCAAATTCTTCTTACATTGTGCATTGCATTCCAATCGTCATTTTTTTATTAGAACAACGAATCGTCTTTTTGTTCATGAGAACCATAAATATACAATATCGTGGTATGACGGTTGATCTTGATTTCGAAGAAGACGATTTTTTTCAATTGAACAGCATCTTTGAATATTTATATTCTATGTACAGAAACATATACCCCCGTCAGTAATAGAGTGATTAAACACTTTTTAATTTTTTTCATTTTTTTCTTTTTTAGACTCACGACCTAATCTTAAAAGAATTACTCAAATTCTTTTTACGTTGCAAATTACATTCCAATCGTTATTTTTTCTTAGAACAACGATTCGCCCGTTTATTCACGAGAAGCGTAATATGTATTATTTTCACGTTAATAACAATAATAATTCTTCGTTTTAGGTTGCTACTACCGTCTTAAAAGGATATCTATGTTTTGCATTTCATTTACATGAAACAACGCTATTCTGAAGCAACCCTAACACAACTTCGAAATGAAATGCGTATTTTTACATTAACTCATTCCGATTTTGAAATAGTACTTTTGGATAGAAACATGCGAAGTACGCTATCGTTATAATTATTTTTTCAGATCGGTATATATCCTGAAACAAGTCCTTGGTTTTATCTTTATCAAATGAGAGGATTGATTCCATAGGATAATTTTGTATCTTTTTGTATTTTTTCCAGATGCAAACTAATGTGGGGAATTAGTAAGGATAGCCCACACTGTCTCGTCTTCACTAGATTTTTATTCTTCTCCTCTTCTATTCTCGCTAGGTTTCACAACTGTCACAACTCCTCGACTCGACTGATATGAAAGATTACTTCGACTGAAAGCTAAATAAATCACAGACAATTGTTCCTTATCTTTGCGGGACACCTTAGTTAAAAAGAACGCTGATTGGCTAGATACGAATCTTCCAGACATAAGAATAACAAAATTTCCAGACAAACATTTCACAATCGCTATTTGATATCTATGCTATTATTCTGTTTCCGACACTAGGACGTTGTATTCAATTATGTTTTTTAAAGGCGTCATTAGTAGTTTAGCAAGATATTATCGAGCTTGGTTTCCATTAATCGATTTACGTTCGTGTGAGGTCATGGGTGATTTTCGTTACAGACATGTCATGTTATACATATATGCTACGAAATCAGAATACGTCCATTACAATCTTCGATATAAAGAAACAGACTCGTCCATGAACAATAGTTTTTTGATA